ATGTTTTTTTTTTCCTACATAAATATGACATTATATTATGATGAACATAAGACTATTTTTATAAAAGAAAACATAAATATCGTAATCATATAATTATATGAAACTTAAAACAATAAAAATTAATTGACAATTTATTTAAGATAACTAAAATTTTCGAATAATATCCTTAATGAAAATAGATAAATAAACAGACAATGATTACAATCTATAGTTAGTCATAATTACGTCCAGTCAAAATGATAACTTTAGAAAAATCATGATAAACAAAGCAAGAAAACGAACAGATTCGATAGACATACATCCCATATAATTCGAACCGGATAAAAATCGTCGGTAGTCTGAGCAAACATCCGACATGGGACATAAATAGTATTTAAGACCAGTTACACTCTACTATTTACATACATCACAGTGTCTTGAAAAACAACGTAGTAGGCGTCGTTTTTTTTTCGTAAATGACGATTTCACTGAGATCTGGACAGATACTACAGTTATTATGATAACTTAACAAACCTTCTGAAGCTACTTGTAGTATATCACAATATGTATAGAAAAAGGTCAATGATAAATACGATAAATCCATCTTTATCTTCTTCATAAGCTTTGTCAGAATAAATTGTCGTCATAGGTTTGTTGGAAAAGAAAACATTTTTCATAGATCTTCTTCCTCTTATGTTAATCTTAACAAATTATACATCGAAAATCTTTGTTTTTTTCTTTCCAACCATAAAATAGAATGAATAAATAATTATTTCATTGATATATAAATCAACCTGTGTAAAATATAAAGAAAAGTAAAAAAGAACAGCGTCATGTTTTTTCTTTTTCGTTTCCTTACAATCGAGACAGATGTAACATGTGACATTGATGTCGTTATAAAAAAAAATCACGAAATTGTTTTGGTAACAAATATTATCATTAAACGATTCATAACATTCACTGGTGTTTTTTTCTTGTCGTTTTTCTTTGCCTGTACGTTCGTTTAAGCTAACGAAAAAAAAAAAAGCAAACAACACCTATTACAGTTTATTTATTCGCGATGCTTCAGTTACTGTCGAAATTAAAGTGCGTGTCCAATGAACTTGATATCATTTAATTTAATTTAAATGCTTTTTTTTTTTATTTTAGTATTTTTTCTAAAAAAAATAAATCTCCATCAATGTCGGATGAAATATTAACAACATCGAATTCAAATGATTCATTATCAAATGATGAAACTCAAACAACATCAGCAATAACTCCATCGACACCACCAATAACTCCATCGACACCACCAATTACTCCAACAACAACAACAACAGCGACAACGACAACATCAGCACTTGATCAAACTAATTTATTTATGCAAACATATGAATATGCAAAAAATAATTATAATTGGCATAAAGTATCTTCAGTTATATCAGATCATCCCGAATGGTTAACACGAATTCCCGAAGGTTCGTTCATTTGTTGTATATAAGATGGAACAAAAAAAAAAAAAAACTATACAGACTTATTTATTTTTTTATATAATAAAGGTCGTCGATGGACAATATTACATCAAGTTGTTTTTTTTGGTAATGTTTCACATTTAAATGAAGTTCTTGCTTATCAAATGCCAAATGAAGATTTTCGTCTTCTATGTAAAACATTAGATGATAAAACAGTTCGTGAAGTTGCTGCTGAACGTGCACATGTACATCCACAAATGTTACGTCATATTGAACGTCTTGTTGCTATTGATCAAGTATTACATAATTCACGTGATAATAAATGGGAATTAGTAAGACAATTTCTTCGTCAACAACCTGATATTGTTAATGAAAAACCACCATATAGAAAATTTTATTTAATACATTATCTTGCATCAATAGGTAATCTTGATATATTTAAAGATTTAAGTACAATATGTCAATTTAAACTTAATTTAATTGCTGATAATAAGACAGTTAATGAAATAGCACGTGAAAATAATCATATTGAATTTGCTGAATATATTGAAAATCTTCAAGCAAATATAAATGAAACAATTGAAAATGATAATCAAAATGCAGCAACAGGAAATGATTCATCTACATTACATACAACTACTGCACCATCATATAGTCAAGGATTTTATGATGATCCTGGTATAATGATATTTTCAATAAATCAAAATACATTAGGAAGTATGTATTTATCACAAGATGGATTATTACAGTTTCCTAGTCATTATCATCATCATTCTTATCCATCTAATGCATCACATTATACACCACCTTATCCATTGCAAGATCAACTTCCAACAGCTATGTCAGTCATTACAACAGATTCTCAACAAAATTCAATAGATGAAGAAACTGAATATGAAAATAAAAAAAAATCAGAACAAAATGTACAATCAATAATGACTGATGAAGAACAATTTGAATATGAAAAAACAGTTATGGAAAATATTAAAAAATTTTCTTCAGAAAATTTACTTAATGCTATTACATGTTGTATTACAAAAACTATTCTTAGAGATCCAGGTAATCATTTGTTTTATGTTCATACTTAAAAATCTATGATCAATCTAAGAATATACATTCTGTTATTACCATTAAGAAACATTGTGAAAACCTATGATGAGATCGGATTTTTATTTTCAAATGAATTTATATTAATGAGAGTTGATTTATTCGTAACCAAAAAATGATTTTCACTTTAGTTTAACAGAGTACATGTCATAGATGGAACTAATAGGGTTTCTTCCTTGCTGGTTAGTGAATCATTCGAATTAATGCGTTTAATGAGTCATATCTTCTTTTCAATCATTTCAATAATTGTATCAGTACTTCGTTTCAATATTATCAATGTTGTTCGCTATTCATTGCCATACGTTTTCGTCGAAATATATGCTATGAATAATAGAAAATATAAATAAATTATAATACTAATGAGAGAAAATTCTTCAACTAATAAATTGCTTTTTGAATCGAGCCTATGTGCATTATGCAGACCCAAATGAGCTGTTAATATCCTGAAAATAATTCGTCTTCTTAGCTTCTTGCTGCCAAGATACTGTACATTTATGATATTTCTTTTTAAAATGAATGCCGTATGTAATAGAAAAAACTGATTTGCGAATTTCAACTTTGAAACTTTGCATAGAAACAGGTTTTTACAACGGTAATTGATTGTGAAAGTTTCAGACAAGGAAGAAAGTGCAGATTTGAGACCTTCAACACTTCAGCACCTTTTGGTACTGAAAGTTAGTAATGGTAGGGGTGTACAGCTCACATTCGAGACAACTGTTATAAGAACAAAACGTATCGATGTTCGGGTCAAATAAAAGAGGGCTCTGGGTAACCCCATGATTGAGCTGAAGAAGCCTATGTTTTATCTTTACTATAGAGGAAAAAACCCTGCTGAAATCTAATTGGTTGATAGTATTTTCGTATTGACCAATCAGGTTGCAAGAAATTATTTCTCAGCTATTATAAGGACAAAACATAGGCTTGTTCGGACCAATTCTGAGATTATTCGAGATCCTCTTTCATTTGATCCGAACATCGGTATGTTTTGTCCTTACAATAGTTGAGAAACAGCTGTCTCAAATGTAAGTTGTACACCCCTACTACAACTAACTTTCAATACCCAAAAGTGCTGAGGGTTCTGCACCTACATTTCCCCCTTGTGTACATCACAGCACTTTCTTGCTTAGTTTTAGATCTTTTGATTTGGTTTAAGTATATCAAACCGATCGGTTTGTATGAGCGATGTAAAAGACATATCCTATTACAATAATTGTATTTTAGAATAGAAATAGCCACAAGATCTGAAACAATTAAAAAAAAACCTATTCTTGTTAAGATCTTTCGCTATGCAAAGTTTCAAGTCGAAATTCGAAAATTAGGTTTTCGTATAGTCTCGATTCAAAAGTGATTTATCAGTTGAAGGACTTTCCTCGTAAGTAATTATTCAATTTTGTTTTCATAACATAATGTGACATCAAAATGAGCTAATAAAATAGTCTTCGACATTAGTAAAAAGTGTTTGATTTTTGAAAATTTTGTCATCTTTAATGCAGATGAAACATGATATTTATCTTAAGATGTGACGATCTGGTAGGACAAAGATTTCAAAACATTAAATATTTATAATAATCAAAGAAATTATAGATAATATTGACTAGTTTTAGAAATGGTTTTAGTGGTTATGCATAAGACATGTACGAGTAAGGGAAGAGAAGCAATCAGTCGAAACCGAACATAGAGGAAGGTAGTATCGAACACATACGGACGGACAGAATATTTTTTCACTTTTTTAATCACTTTGCAAAAAATAATTTAAATCGGACGTCAAGAAAATTAGTCTTAAATTATCTTGAAGGAGCATCGAAAAGGGATGAGTAAGAACGAACGTGGATAGGTGTAGGTGGTTATGATTAGAGCGTAGGTGTGAGTAGGTGCAGATGATCATGTGAATGAGAGTAGGCGTGGGATATGAATGTGTTCTCACAGACATCCACATCCAAGCACTCGCAATGAATTGTTCGGATATCTATATGAATGGGCTCTTAATAACTTTAAATGTATGATATTTAATTATATTTGTATTCTATAGTTGTGGCTGCTGATGGTTTTACTTATGAAAGAGAAGCAATTGTTAATTGGTTTAAAGATTCTAATCGTAGTCCAATGACAAATCAAGAACTTGACAGTAAAGAATTAAAACCAAATCATGCTGTCAAATCAATTTTACAATCATTTTGTGATTCAAAAAAACACGAAAAAAAATCGGATGAAAAACTACAAAAAAAAAATACTAATAATCCTGAATAAGAGTTTTTTTTTTTTTTTTGAACTTTAATATACATTCCTCAATATTTCTTTTCGATTTTATTATTTTCAAAAAAATATATAGACGATCTATTTGTTTTCGTCTATTAAAGAAGCGATATTCTTTTTTTTGTTTTTTACTGTAATAATATATATTTATATAATTCTTTCGATTTATCTGTCTTTAGATATTATAAATTTTTATATTGATAACTTATGGATAATGTACTATCATTCGAGGAAGCAGTTAGAAATGCAAAACATTTTGAAAATTTTGAAGATGTTCTTATAACACTTCATTTTCATCCTGAATGGTTAACAAAAATTCCAGAAACACGAAGATGGGCAATTCTTCATCATATTGTTTATTCTGGTAATATACAACATTTCGAACAAGTACTTGCATTACAAAAATCAAATAAAGATTTTCGTTTATTGAGTAAAACAATTGAGAATGAAACTATACTTGATATTGCTAAATTACGTGATGATCTATCTGATATGTTAAAACGTATTGAACGATTAGTTAAACTTGATGAATTACTTAATTATGCTAGAGAATATCAATGGAATAAATGTTATGAAATTGTTAAAGAAAATTCAATACTTGGTAATGAAAAACCACCTTATCGATTATTTTATTTAATTCATCATCTAGCTTATGCTGATGAAATTGAACAATTTAAAAAATTTCAACAAATTGAAAATTTTCAATTTGATTTAACATTACGAGTTGATCGTAAAAAAATAAATGATATTGCACGAGAAGGTAAAGGTAAAAATTTTGCTCAATATATTGAAACAACATATCCATCATATTTTAATACTAATTATACTGATGATCAATTATATGAACCATCAGAACAAGCTAAAAAACATACAAAAAATATAAATACTCTCATGGATCAACGTAGTATCTACAATGAATCGGATTTTTCTTTTGGTCCAGCAAAAAATCATTTAACTCGAACAGAAGCCGATAAAAAAGTGAAACCAAAATCTACACCATCAACATCAACAAACATTTCAAATAAATCTCTTCAACAACCTACGGAGGCTATACTTAGTCTTCTTACGTGTTCTCTTACACGTGCTATTGTTAACGATCCTGGTAAGTAACATAATTAGTTCGATGATATTGTGACGATAGTTGATCATTAATCAGTTGTTAGTCAGAAATAAATATTATCTTATCGCGTATGTACAATGATTTTTTATGGTTTCAAGTAACGGATTTACGTATATATACAAGAATTCGGAAACGGAAAGGTTTCACTAAAAAGTACGAAACGAAGAATACTCTTATCTTTGAGTTACTGCCTAGCGGCAGACGATCCGGGACAAATGGCTATTAGTGATTTGTCCAGAGTCATTCTAAGGTTTTCACACAGCACCTTGTGGATATGTGTCAAACAATATAGCCACTCAACCATGATAGTCCTGGAGAGAATATACAAGATCTATACAGGATGAAAATGAATTATACTTGAACAAACTGAAAAAGAGAATGTATTTGCATTGACACATGACAGCAGAACGAAAGATAATATAGATAGATTACATACAGTAGTTTGTAAAATTATTCGATCAAATTTGTTTTCAATTCTTTTTTCGTTGCCGTTAATACTAAGAATCGAAATACCGATCGAAGTAGAGAATTTTTAAGATAAATATGATTGCTAGCTTCTCAAGGAAAATAATCTCTGAAAAATTAAGTTTGTCATAATTCCTAGAACTTGGACTCTCAATTATGTTTGAGTTACCTAGCATGATAAAGCAAAGAATTCTCTTCAAAATGAAACTTCTTTCAGTTCTCTACGACATTTTTGTTTTTGATCAAAATACATCAAGTTTATCAAAGGCACAAAAATGATATTTTCATATAAAATAGTCGAAAAAAGGATTTCTATGCCTCTGATCAAAAAATGTTGTCGACAGTTGAAAGATGTTTCATTCTGTAAAAAATTATTTGCTTTATCATTCTAGATAACTCAAATCGAATTGAGATTGAAAATTCTATGGACTGAAGAACTTGATTTTTCATTGAAAATTTTCCTTGAGTTTAGAAATCATCATATATTCTTTTGAAATATCAAATACTATTGAATTAATAAATTTGTTTTCGTTTTGATTGTAGTTGTTGCTGCTGATGGATTTACATATGAACGTACGGCAATTGAAAATTGGCTTCAATCGAATGATCGTTCACCAATGACAAACGAAAAACTTGCTCATAAAAATTTAAGTTCAAATTTAGTAGTTAAACGAATTTTAACCAGTATTACTCAATAATTGTATTAAGTACGCAAAACATGATTAGTAAGTAGAATGAAAATATGATTTACTGTTTTTGTTTTTTGATTTTCTGTCTTGTATCTGTGATATGAATTTTAAATGAATGAATGATAATTTTACATGTATTCCTAGAAAAAATATTTAGCTTGTGATAATTTAACTATTTTTGTTTTTTAGATAATTAATATCTTTTAATTCTATCGCATTATTATAAGAGAAGTTCATGTTACAATCTTTTTTTTCTTCACATGTCTTCCATCATAAACCGTATCACAATCACATAGAGATATGTATATCTCTTTAGATTTATCATGGAAGTATGTTACAACAATGGATTGCTTTCGGTCGATAACATGAACTTACTAACAACTTATATAGATACGTCAATTAAGACAAAATTCAACAGGTATATTAATATTTGTTGACTCGATCATTAAAAAAAAAGAATGTAAATGAAATTATGATTGAATCTGGTTATAATGGTATTCGTTCTTAAGAAATTCTTAAAAATAGAGCAAATGATTAGAGCTCGTCAGGTTCAAAATTTTTGAATTTGGTTGATCGAATTTTAAACATGCGAGATACTCTTTATCGATTATTTGAAGTCTGCTATGGAGTGAGCCATGAACATCTTTACTATTAAAAATTTGAATACTTCTACTCCACTTGACGGTATTAGACTAATTTTTTTTTATTGATGAGAGACAAGTGTTCAATGTTTTTTTTTTCTCATAAGAAAATCATTAATGAGCATTGCTTTCCATTGTCAATATTCACTTCTATATACGCTAGTACAACATTTTTATTTATCATTCCATTTGTATAAAACAGATCGTCAATGAGAGAATCTCCTGAAATGTTTCCTTCAGATTTCAATGACTTTTTTGTCTATAGATACTGCATAATGTTCTAATAAAAACTGAATTCCGATTGAAATTTGACTAAGCTATCGAATTTTGTTCTGAAACTTTGCACATATAGAGAACTCAACTAGACCAGAAACAAATTCAAAAGCTTTGAACAAACTCTCTTCAAGATGTGAACCTTTCAAAGAAAACATTTAGTATACGCCAGGGATGAAATCGGTATAGATTTCACACTGGTCAATACTGGTTTGTCTTATTTATTTTTTTGCTCTTATTGTCTCATACAGGATGTGTCAAATATCACTATCCACAAATGAAATAGGAATCCAATTTTTATTAAAATTGTATGTAATAACCATAGAAAAAACCTTATTGCAATCAGAAAAAGACATCGGAGGAGATTTCTTCGTAAACCGACTGATTGAATCATTTATCGAAAGAATATTTTCAATTGATCAATTGATTTTTCATCAAAACCAAGTATATTTTTGATTATCGACCATGTTGATTTTTGGAATAGGAATTTCTTATTATCATTTGCAAAATCTGCATGATAATCTACTAGCTTTCAATGAGAAAGCGATTAATTAATTGAAAACATTCCTTCGTATGTTTATTTTTTTATTTTAATTAAAAATTAATTTCATCAAATTTTATTCTAGATTTAAAAGAAAAAAAAACTCATCATTATGTCATCACGTGATAAAACTATAGAAGAAATGCAATTCTCACTTGATACAGTCACTAATTGGGCACGTGCAAATTGTGAATGGGATAAAATTTATCAACATATAGTTTTAAATCCAGCAAATTTTTTTATTATATCACCTGGACGTCGATGGTCTATTGCTCATCAAGTTGTTCATCATGGGAATGTCGATCTTTTCAAACGTTTTATTGTACTTTATTCTGATGATAATATTGATATACGTGTTAAAACAAAAGATAATAAAACATTTCTTGATATTGCTAAAGAACAACAAAATAATCATCCAATAATGTATACATATATTGAACATTTATTTTTACAAGATGAATTAATGGAACAAGCAAAGCAATCAAATTGGCGTGAAATTATTGACATACTTGAAAAAGATAATAAATTAGTAAATGAAAAACCACCATATTCACCTTGTTTTCTTATACATTATGCTGTTAAAAGTGGTGATACACATAATTTACAAGTATTAATTGATCATTATAAATGTTTAACAAATGTAAGAAATGATGCTGATGAAACACCTTTAGATATGGCTAAAAGACTTAATAAACATGATATGTGTTCTATACTTGAATCAAAAACAGTGATAAAAAAAGATATTTCTTCAACACCACAATCATCAACATCAACACAAAATTTAGATCGATCAGATCAACGATCATCATATGAGCCTTCATCGAATAAAATTCAACATGTACCATCGCCAATCAAATCTCTTCCTTCATCATCAACAACAACTGATACATTCAATCAACAACTTTCTCCTATTGGATTTGGTAATATTGTAAATGATATTATTCAAAATAATGTTTTCCAATTTGAACAATCAGATCATAAACAATCAACAATTCCATCTAGAGAACAACAATCAAATCATAAACAATCAACAATTCCATCTAAAGAACAACAATCAACATCATCATCATCATCATCATTATTATCATCATCTCCAATTAAACATGTTGAAGTCAGAAAATCGATTATTAGTGAATGTCCATTGACTGATGTAAATTCAACATCAAATGAACAATCAACAAAAGATGTGCAATATTCAACGATTCCTTCAAATTCAACATCAAATTCAGTAACTGAACAATTTATGAAAGCTTTTAAATGTCCTTTAACTGGAAAATTTTTTGTTGATCCTGTTATTGCTAGTGATAATCATACATATGAACGATCAGCTATTCTTGATTGGGTTAAATTACATCATTCTTCACCAACAACTGGTAAACCAATGGATGCAACAGTTCAAGATAATATTGCTATTAAAAAAGTTCTTCAAACAATACCAAGACAAAGTTGAAAAACCAAAACTCTTATACGTGTCTTTGAATTTAACGATAATGTATTATGAAGAAATTTTTTTTTGCTTTTTTTTTTTTTTTAATATATATTTATATCAATTCAGAATAAATGCTGTGATTCTTTGTTTGTTTTAGATCATTTGTGATGAAAAACCATAATAATATATGATTTCGATGATATATCTTTTATGTTTATCGATTAATTTATTTAATTTGTAATTCTAAAATAGGATATACTCTTTCTCGAATATGAATAATAGTGTGTAGTAATTGAAATGATATCAAGAGAAAACAAGGAAACCTTGGATCTAGAAGTACTCGAGAGTCGTGTAGAACAATAGGAAGTCCAGTAGAAACCGCGATATATTAGTAGTTGTTTTCATTCGGTAATCTACTGTCGGCATATCGTTGGATTAATTCCAACGCGTCCGAATCTAAAAATGTTGGACTTGATGAGCTCTAGTCGTCTGAGAAATGTGTAGAATACGGTAGTCATCGAATACAAGAAGCTAGAAAAAAAGGTCTCTCATATTCTATTTAGAAAATTTTATTGGAAGTTTCAAAGTACGATTCGACTGGGTTCGAAAAAGTTTGGATCCAACACGTTCTAGTCGGTGATAATGCAAACAAACATGCAACATGAATACTAAAGCTTGTATGTTACAGATCATCAGATGTTCGATTTGATGAGATCTGTATTATGATATGAGATTACGAAGAACTTCATGAAATCATCTGTAGGATTTCATAAGATTCAATCTCATTCTACTTGACTATGCAATACTAGGATCTTATTGAATGGCTTCTATGAAAAAAAGTCAGAATTTTTGTATCGTTTTAAAAAAGCCCTATCGTCAAAGGATTAATAGATTTATAAAATGCATCCAAATTCTTACATAAAATGTTAAAACTTTTCACTGCCTTTAACTGTAAATAATAAGAGTTTCGTAGTAAAACAGACTTTAAAAGTGTTCGTAAGGAAATGTTGAATTTCGTATGATTAAATGTTAGATCCTACAATGCCAATAACTTAAGATAGTCCTCTTTCGTTATCAGTGACGAAGAATTGTACGTTGTCGAAAGTTTTTTTCGAATTCAGTGGCTAAGCTTTCATGCCTTAGAAACATTTTCAACAAAGTCAACAAACTTACAATCTTTTTATGAACATAACTGCTTCATCATTACGCTATTTTTCAATAAAATAAATCAAATCGTATCAGATTTTTACAGTGCAAAATGTTAGTAAGAAATAAGAAGCATTAACTATGCTTCATGCAAATGATACAAAAAGGTTCATACATTCCCTTCGCCGGCTCCTCATAAAGATTATTAACCCTAATCTAAATTCAAAACGTTCCACCGTCTATACTTCATCAAGATTTAGGTTAATTAAAACTGCATATACACAGTTCGAACTTGAATAAAATCAGGTCAAATTCGGTTAGTGAAAAAAAAGCAATAAAATATTTTAATGGCATACACACACACATACAAAGTTTTATTTAATATAATTAATTATCAATGTATCTATTTTGTTTATTGTTATCCAACAAAATAAAATATAAACAAATTTTTATATCTCTGTTTTTTTTAATGATGATGATGATAATAATAATCATAAGAAGTTGATGATAACCAAGACCAATTTGTTGAAGATATTGATGGTAATTGAGAATTAGGATACAAATGTTGTTGTTGTAATAAAAGTGTTTGTTGTTCAAATTCTTCAACTACATGAATTTTTTGAGGATCATTCCATAATATTGAATTTTGTTGTGTTTGATTTCGCAAAAGATAACGTTTTGCACGTTTTGGATGTGTATTTTGTGTTCGATTACGTTTATTAGAAAACCATGCTTTTACTTGTGATTCTTTAATTCCACCATTAGTTGATAAATAATCTAAATCGTTACGATTTGGATATGGATTATCTTCATGTGTTATATACCATGCATTCATTAAACGAACAGCTTTTTCTGGTAATTGTTTACTAGATTTTGTTGTTGAATGATTTGTATTATTATTATTATTGGTAACTGTAATAATGTCATTCTAAATAAGGAAAAAGATTTTGTTATAGGACAATCGATACAGAGTTAAAAGTAGTTGTTGTTCAGATTCTGGGACATATTGTTTACTTAATCCTCCAGAAATTTAATAAAGAAATAGTTCATATATTATAACGAAACGTTATTTATATACGATTTGTCATCGTATATCAACATCGTCTGTGCGGAAGGGATCGAAATACCTATGAACAAAAAGCAATAGAATGAAATTGATATTATAATCTATACATGACAAATTTTCTTGACTAAACATTTTTAATTTTTCTATTGTGTTCATCAGAAGATAATAAAGATCTCAAATACCTTCGATATTAATAATATCACTAAATCTTTTTCGATCATCTATATTCGGGAGTTTCGGCAAACATTTCTTATGTTCACTATTTGTGAATATTTATCTATACATCATGAATTATGAGTTGACTTTTTCTTAATTACGAACTTATACTTCAATTTCAATGACTTTTTACTTATAGATACTATATAGTGTTCTAAAATAAAAACTAGTTTCTTATTGAGATTTGACTAAGCTATCGAATTTTTTTCTAGAGACTTTCGATTTTCGGAAAACTCGTATTTTCGAATTTTGATCTGAAACTTTAAACTAACTTCTACAAAAAAATCCATGTGGTATACACGTTATCCATGGAAACGAGTCTATATATTGAAAGTCTAATATCTCGAAGAAGCATTGTTCAAAACTTCTGAAATTTTTTATAGAAGTTAGTTTAAAGTTTCAGATCAACATTGGAAAATACAAGTTTTCTGAAAACTTGAAACCTCTAGCAAAAAAATTTGATAGCTTGGTCAAATCTTCATAGGAATTTAAATTCTTTTAGGGTTTTTAATGAACGATCGGAAAGTTTTTAGAAAAGATATTTGTTCATTTTTGACCCACTAGAAAGTATTTTCAACGAATCAAAAGCTATGAGTTAGGATGCTCTTTTCGCATATAGGCCTATAAATTTTGTTTCAGTTTTTTGTTCGAGAGTAATGAAGTGATCTTTGAAAAGCTTAAAAAAACTAGTTTGAATAGAAAAATTTTTGTATTTTCACTATTGCAATTCGAAACTAAAAGTTGAAATCGTTATTTATATTTCTTAACAAAATACTTGAGTAAAAGTTACATCTTAGTTCAATATCACATATTGTAGAGAAGTGTTCGATCTATAAAACGACTGACTCCGAGAATTTTTAGCATATTTGAAAAGGAACTTTAGACTCATCATTAAAAATATTTTTTCAGATCTTTTAAAAAGTCCCTCACCACGCACAAAAAAAACTACACACAACATTTTTTAACCTCCTATTCAAATTTCAGCTCTTAGCACGTCTGAAATGCATTCAAGAAAATCAAAATGAACAAACATGTTCACCATAAACATCGGGCCCACAAGTTTCATTTAAACTAATTTTTTTGACTTTTCAAAAATTGAGGTAAAATTTCTCACGTGGGAAATTATCCTAAGTTACATTCGCCGTTTGTGCTCATATTGAAGCCAAACGGTATATGTAATCCGGATCGGTTTTAACATTGCGGAATGTTATACTAGATTTGTATATTCAACAATCTATTATTTGAATTAATCTTACTCTTACTTCATTTAAGATTTGTTCATTATAGTACAATGTAAAACTCATGATTCTATATATATATATATTTTTTCTTCACTTAACGAATGAAATATTCGTTTATACACCTATGTATATACACAAGTTAAAAAACGTCTACGTATTTTTATTTTTCTCTCATTAAATTTCTCCTCCAATCAAAATGATTAACGATGTTGACGAAATTATTAAATGTGCACCATGTTAATTGATATTCATAATGAATCATGGAACTGATTAAGAATTTTGTTTTTCCTAAAGTTAAACAATTAGATAATTGAATATTTTAATATTCAATTGGTTGATATATTTTGCTTCTAGATATGACTGAAAATAATAATATTCAAGAACATTATCAAACATTATATAATCTTCAACATGAACAATTAATTATATTACGTAAAGAAAATCATGAATTACGATTAAAAATAGCTCAAGATAAAGAACGAAAATTAATAAAAATAAAAGATTATGAAAAAAAATTAGAAAAATTTCAAATACTTGCTAATGATGCAAGTATTCGATTAAATGAAGGTAGTGAATTAATTAAAAAATTACAACAACATTTAAAAATTTGTCAAGAAAAAGTAAATTTGTTTTTCGAAACAAAAATAAAATATTTCATTTTTATTTTAGTTATCAGATAAAACAAAAGTATTATTAACAAAAAATGATACAATTCATAAATATCAATTACATATTACTCATCTCAATAATAGAATAAAACAATTAATTGATCAATATACAACAAAAAATTTACAATTTTCATTCAATGTAAGTTTCAATAAAAGAGAATAATCGAATTGATAACGACTGATGCAAAAGTCTTGGCACAAATGTCGAGACCTGTAGTATTTCAACAGAAAGTGCTAGAGATCTAATTCTTTCACCATTAGATAGACCAAAGTGTCTGCTTTCAAACTCACTTTTTGAAAAAAGCTTTTGATGAAGTTAAGGTTTTCAAATTTTAATTTTTGAAAAACCACTAAAAACGACTTGTAACTATGCGAAATTAGGAAATGTTACGATAACACACCTTTATGTAAGTTTCACAGTTTTTTGCTGTGCTACAAAAATTTAGTAGCTCAGTAGCTACGATTTAAAAAAAAAGCTTGGTTCAATCAAACATAGTCTGGCTGAGTTATAAGTGGATTTAATTAAGACGAAATTGGCGCCAAAGCGCTATTTTGTTCATTTGTAGTGTTTAGCTGATTTTCAGGAGATGAAAACGTCTATTCCCAGTTTTTCATACGGATTCTGAAAGGTCTTGAAAAACAGCATCTTTTGGACTAATTAAAAATTTTTGTCTTCCTAAAAATACCTAAATTGCGCACCAAAAACCCAACGCTGCCGTGCTTTCGCTTAAAAGCCTAATTGCGGATTACCATGGATACGCACAAATTTCGGAGTGAGATTTTGAAAAACCCTACACTTCAGACTTGATTCCCTGGAAGTTTCAGCTCATTATCTATTAATTCGACAAGAATACTGTTGTTTTAAATTTAAAAAAAGCGCGAAAAAGGATCAAAAGTTACAAACCGTTTTTAGTGGTTTTTGAAAATTTGAAAATTGAAAACCTTAACTTCATCAAAAACTTTTTGAAAAAAGTGGGTTTGAAAGCACACACTTTGGTCTATCTAATCGTGAAAGAATTAGATCTCTAGCACCTTCCGTTGAAATACTACGGGCCTCGACATTTGTGCCAAGACTTTTGCATCAGTCCTTATATTTAATAATTATTCGATAAGGTGACATATAAAAATAATTTCATTCTAAGATCTTCAATTCTATTTGAATTATCTTGTAACATCATTCACATTGATTTCTATCATCTAGTAATCTAAATTTAATTCTTCTCAACCAATAAAACAATTAAAATTCTTTTGAATTGTATTGAAAAAGTCTAATGTCATGAAATTTCATCCATTATTTGATTATGAGAAATAATTTAAATGTATTACTTTATTTTCTCATCTCATTTAATTGTGTTAGGAAATCACAAAGTTATGTACTTATGAGCATTATTTTCATAAGAGTTAAAAATCAATTTTGAGTTTATTCTTGAATATAAACTAATTATTCATATTAATTTTGTTTGAAGATTCTATTCTCTAGAATCCGAGAATGTTCAGTGAGATACTTGGAGTTATAGAGCTATATAGAAAAGAAGGAAGGATAAGAGAAGGGTCGTGCGGGATCCGAATTTTTTCAATCTCTTATATCAAAATGTGTTGTAGAGTTTCAATGTTATATATTTCTAACAAAGATTTAGATATTTAAATAAATAGTAGAAAAAACGGCTGTCTGCATGAGCTTGAAAAATGTCAGAATGCGATTCTATACAATATTTGTTATTTCTAAATCTTAGACTTGCATAGAGGAAATCATAATGAATTTTAGTTGTGGTTAGTTACGTTGGCTCAGCAGATAAGATTGAAGAATAATAAATCTGACGAAGGAATCTCTTCAGATGGCAAATTGCTTTACGACCGAGACAATGTTTATTTGATAAGTAATAGAAAATTCTAGAGTGGTTTGGTTTTTCGGACATTCGTTCTCGCGATAGGTTGTTTTTCAACAAAAAGCTTTGGTCTCTCTCAAGTCACATAAAAGTTTCGACTTGAAATTTTTCATGAACAAAGTTCGAAGTAGAAATTCTCATGCGGCCTGAGATGGACACAGCTTTTTCATTGAAAAAAAACATCTGGAAAACGAAGGTCTAGAAAAGCAAACCATTCTGAATTTTTTTGTTATTCATCAAATGAATATCATCTCGGTTGAAAAGCGATTTGACACCTGAAGAGATTCCCTTATCGTAAACCAACTATTGCCATATTAAACTGTTAATTATTGTTTTCCGCAGTTTTATAGTCCTCGAGCGGAATCGAGTTTTTAAAAAAGCAGAGTTCAGATCGGCATTAGTCATAATCTCGGCAAACTGTTTCTCATTTAAAAATGATGGTTAGGCATGAAGGACGAAGTATCTGAATTTAGTCATGACTAATGCTTTGCAAAAAAGAAGAATTCATCATGGGAACTAAGCGAGTAAGAAACAATAAATCGACTATTACACTTTGTACAGCCATCCGCTGTTCAGTCAACAGAACGAATACAATTCGGAACAAGAAAAAGTTTATTTCGCAAGACTTTAAAAGAAAAATATAATAAATGTAAGTTTTGCGGCAAGTTTTTTTTAATTATATCTTGCGCAAATTTCCAGTTCAATTAGTTTTGCGTGCAATAATTTCTCAGAATCCTATGACGTCAATCATGCACATATTAATCGTTGAATACAACAAAAAAAAAGCAGTATATTTGAATAAATAAGTTTTTTATAAAAAGAAATTTTGACAACTGAATATTCAGAGAGGGAGCGATCGAAAAATGTGATTTTTTGTTGTTTGTGGAAGTCCTTTATAGATGACATCCGCAGGTTAAATTGATAATTTTTTTCTTTTCTTTTTTCAGGTTAATAATAATAATAATAATAATGAAAAAGTTGATATTGCTATACAAACTTCACCAACATTATCAATTCAACGTCGTAATGTTCGATTTAATTTAGATAAAGAAAAGTTAGTGATCTATTCTAATTATTCACATTATTATTATTTTTTGTTTATCTTTTAAATTTAAGTTATTCAATCGATCCAAAATATTTTCAATCAACAATGATAATAAATAATCAATCAAGCTAAACTTCTTCACTTTAATTCAACATATATATATATTAGATGTCAGATATGAATGTTTCTTTTTTTTTTTGTCTTATATTGAATGGAAAATAAATATATGCATAGATGAAACTGTTAGATAAAGATATAAATAGATGTTTTTTTGTATTTTACAAATCAAAAGATGAAAATAAAATCTTCAGTATTAATATTGTTTAAATTTTTTTTGTTTTATAAAATCAATCGAAATACTTTTCCTTGTGTGTTATAGAATATTTTGTGAATATCTTATAGTTAATTAACTTTATCTTAGGGAAGGAATGTTATCAATTGATGAACATTCGTTAACATAATATTATCTTATTCGAAAGTAAGAATGCGAAGGATAAAGGCTGTTGTCATAGATTGATACAACTCGTCTTAAATGATGTTAATAATTCTTCTCGAAAGAATCTCTATTTAATAGACGAGCATAGATGCTAGGTTTCGATCTTCGATAATAAAGAATAATTGTTTTAGAATAACAAAAAGTACCTGATAAACTCGCAATTTTATTTTTGAATATAATAACTTTAGTTTGATAAGACATAACTACGAGAAATTAAAATGTTTCAAATCAAATATCACATATAATATGATTTCTCTATTCACATATTTTGTTTTCTTATTTATAATTTTCATTATAAGAAGAAAAAGACAATGAATATTAGTCAATTAAGACAATAGAAGTGTTTTATTAACAAACAAACTACCAACATTACGCGCAATAATAAATATTTTATGATCCAGATTTAATGGTTCATTACATTTATCAAAATATATTCTTATTATTAATAGAATTTTATATTTAGATTCTGGATGGTACAAAGTATCCCATGACTCTTATATTAGTTAGGTAAGAAAACTACTTGTAATTTGCTTATGATATTTTTGTAAAAAGAAAAAGGATAATATTACTTATATAGACCTGGATTGACGTCATTGCAATATTGTTAGATCAATAACTATCAAATATATTCTTTTTTTTTTCCTATTTTATCTGATCCATATATAAGTAGAGTATCAAAATTTGACAAGTTATTTGTCATATTTTCTTTTTTTTTCTTTGTATACTGTCCCAAAATTTGGTTTTTGACAATAGAAGTCAACACAGTGATGTAGAAAAGAAAGAAAGAAAGAAGAACAACAATCAGCTATACAAAAAAGAAAAAGAAAACAAGAAAGAACATGAATGCCATCAATCTAAGATCTTCAAAGATATCTTTCGCGTTTTTAAGCAACAACAAAATAAACACATACATGCAGCATTCAATGTCACTGTTCGTTTAAATGCAGACGGAGACGACTAAGAAAAAAAAAGAAAATGCGCATACACATACACAACAAAAGACAAGAGAGAAAAAAAAAAAGAAGATGAAGTTCATCACAGTTGAGAGACGGGGAATCGAATGTCGCGCGCGCGCATGAAGAAAAAAAATTATATGTCGAGGCGGTAATGACGAAATATTTTGTAGAAAAATATACATATATAGAAATACTTTGATTCAATAGCGGCGATGATATAGTGGGCATCTGATATTTGATTTTTCTTATTTTTTTTTTTTTTTTTTTTGTAGAATAAGATTTCGTTTGGTTCTATGGTCGTCAGCGCATATCACGCGACAATGGTACGTCCACACTGTGGAATGTGTCGTGAAGACAGAAAAAGAAATGTTTTTAGGATTGAAACAGACAAACAAAAGAAAAAAAACGAAGAAGAAAAAAATTTGAAAAACAATTTAAATAGAATATTCAGAAAAACCGGGCTGATGATGTTGAAAGTCAAGTTTTAACATCTTCATTACGTATTAATCGCCGGTATATATGTGAATTGATAAAACGTGGATAAGAATCTCGATGCATTAATGTATATATTTGTAATTGGGCTTCATCGAATGTATGTGGAGATGGTTCAACCATATTTTTATTAATTACTTCGCGCACACGACTATCTAAACTTACCTGAAAAAAAGAAAACAAATGTATGTCATAAAATAAGAATTATTTATTAAGATCTTATTCTTACCTCTTTCGGAGATAAAATAGATATATAATCTTCATAGATTAATCTTGCTTTTTCTTCTATTATATCAGGATTTTGTTCGTTTTTTAGAGATTCACAAGACATCCAAAATAGAAAATTTTCTTCACTATATTCTGATCGTAGGAATTCTCGAAAATAATGACGACCAGCTAAAACAAAAAAAAAATCTTGTTTTTTTTTTTTGCAATATGAAATATAAATCCTCAAAGAAGATCAGAATGATCTCCAACATCCGTACCAATCCTAGCAACTTCGAGATATTCTCGAAACAGATTATTACTAATCCTTTCAATTAAATAAAATTCTCTCAACTATCTATCTATATTATTTACCGGCACTCATCATTAATTTGTCAAATGATTCCGACCAACTTTTAAGTTCGTCGATCGATGGTCTAAATATTTAGAAAATCAATAAATTATTTAACAAAAAAGAAATATATATATACGATTCTTACGGTTCTCCTAAGTCAATAGGTTCAACAGGTTGACGGCCTTCGTCGGTGCGCACGGTTAAACTAGAACAGAAAAAAAACAAGCAACAAATCAATATATATATATATATATATATTTAATAATCAATGTTTAGATGGGGAAAAAGAAAAAAACAAAGACGACGAAGAACTTTCTATATTTGTTGGTTACTTTTTTGGTCCTGCTAGTATTCGTCGAACATTTTCCGGAAAAACAAAGACAAGATGTTCGAGAACACTTTTTCCAATTCCACGTGTTGATCGATGATCATCAAATGATGTTGATTTATGTTTTATAGATAGACTTTTAGCTGATGATAGTGTTCCTCCAACAGCACCAGTTGTTGTTGTTGTTGTCGTTGTTGTTGTTTTAATCAAATGTTTATTTGGTATTGACATAGTTGATGCTGATGAAATTATATTGGGTTTTTCATGTATAATATTTATTTCACATGCTGTTGACATTGATGTTTTACGTTGTTGTTGCTGTTGTTGTTGATTATTAAATGGATTTGGAGGTGTAATTGAAACATTTGTTAATGCTGATGTTGAACGAGATGCAGCTATATTATTTGATGCTGTAAACATAAGAGAAGATTTTTTTGTACTTGAAGGTTGTTGAGGACGATTATTATTACGTGGTCGAATTGAAGTATCTGTATCACATGTAACCGATATTGCACTTAATGTAGCAGAATTTGAACGTTGTGAACGACTTTTTTGTGATGTACTTTTATCTTTTCGAGAATTATTATTTCCACTAATAACTTTGGCACGAGCCACGTGTTCAGGTACAACTTGAGTCATTTGAGAATCAATATTAGAAGTATTATTCGTTGTTATTTCAAACGATTCCGGCTGCCAATGATGTGGCCACGAGACCAAACTTGAAAAGTCATGATGATGCGACAACAACGATGATGATGATGATGATGACGGCGGATGCCGCTCGGATTCCATGGCCCATCGTTGCCGTCGACAAGGAAAAAGTTATTATTAATTCTTCTTTTTCTTTTTTTTTTTGACGCGCGCGCGCACTCGGCAATGTTGAGATGATGACGATAGTAATAGTCAAAGTTTCACTACGATCATCATCTTCACTACTACCGTCAGAAACAACACAAAACGAGAGTGACATGTTCTTTTTTTTTTTTTCTCTCAGTTTTTTTTTTCTGCTTAGTCTTTCGCCATCAACGAGAACATCACATCAAAGACAGACCCGGCGAACGAGACAAGGCGTAGGCCCAACCGGTTTTTTTTTACGCGCTCGCACTCGTCCGTTTGTATTCCTTTTTGCTTACTAACATGATTTAGCTAATAAGAAGTCTGGAATGAAAAAAAAAACCCGACGCCGACGACGCCGACGACATTGAACATTTCTTCCCCCGTTTTTTTTTTTTTCTAACATAAGCGAAACAACATCAGTGCAAGTCGAGAGAAGAAAAAAAAAACGACTGGGTGAAAAAAAAAAAAAGAAATAGAAAGGGTAGTTATATCCTTAATCCGATTAAGAATGGGTAAAAAAAAAACGAGAAGGAAAAGCGTTTCGTTTTCGGCCGACAAATTGATAGCTACATGACAAGAGAAAAAGAAGAAGAAGAAAAAAAAATCTCAGTGCTAAAGAGGTCGCAATATGTAGCAACATTCATTATCAGATTATTGAGCACAGCGGCAAGCCACTTTTACATCGTTTCCCAATAGAAATGAAATTAGAGTTTATACTCTATGATCAAGTGTGTATCTATGTTTGACTTTCGAATAAGCAAGGGAGAAAGAAAAAAAAAAAAAAAGAAAAAAAGATCGTTCGACGACAACAACAATGATAATGAAAGTAAACTAACTATTATTCTTATCTTTCCGAAACGGAAATGATATTTGGCAAGCGTGGGTCTCCTCAAAATGTTTTTCGCAAAACAGACAAAAAAAAAAGAAAAAGAAAGAAAAGAAAGAGCAGCATCAAATTAAATATTTGAATGAAGAGAGAATTATAAGTTAATAAGAACGAATTAAAAAAAAGCACATACTTTTGACGACGTCGTATGGAACCGAATGGGTGAAACTTGGAATTTTTAATCATGTTCTTTTCACATGCACATGCGCGTTTACAAACGCGCAAATTCACCAGGAGGACTGAAGAAGGAGTAGGGGACCAATTTTTGTATGTATAAATATGATGCTGCTGTCTGTCAATATGTGATGATGAGGAGACCCACGTCTAAAGCAAGATAGATAGAGAAGAAAAAAAAAAAACAAAAAAGACGATTATGTACAGTTTCGAATAAAATACATAGGTAGACAAACGACTCATAGAAAAGATTAGGAATTTCTGCGCAGCGCAATATATACACATATATATATATATATAGAAATTATATATATATATATATATAAATGTATTTTATTTTTATATCAATAATGTGCATGATCAACAAGGTGGTATTATGTTTATAATGGAATGAAGGAAGGGAATACATTTTCTAATATACATACCACGAACAGGAGCAACAGCAACACCAACAAAAACAACAGGCTTTTGAGGCTTGATCACTATGAGTTGGAGAAGAATTAAGTGGTTCTTGTTGTTGATTTGAAGGTAGAGTTGAAGGTGTTGGTTGTTGACGGCGTGATCGATTACTGTCGAAAATAGATGAAGTTTCTTGATTCGATTGGCGTGTGCTCATAATCTGTTAAAAAAAGGAAAAGGAATTTCTTTTTTTTTTTTTTTTTTTATTTCATAATTATTTTCTTTCAATTGTCGTTTCTTACTTGACGGAAACAATTCTTTTGCACGTCTTCGACTTGACCGACAAAACCCTCTATGAGCCGGAAAAGGATGTCGGCAGCTGAAAAAATCAGCACCGAATAGGGCGGTGAAGATGAATGAATATAGCAGCGACAATGTTGTGCTGCTGATGCTGTTAATGAAGTACTTAATAATAAACTTGATGCGTTTCTATTTTTCCTAAAAAATAAAACAAAAAAAAAGAAAAAATTATTTAAACTAAATGGCACATAAGTCTAATCCAAACAACATAAAAATAATAACTTCACATATATTGTAATCTTTTCTTTTTTAGTATATAGGATGAGAAGAGTGATCAACGTCATCATCATAGATCTCATATTCTTTCATTGCCTCTTCGTCTTTTTTTCTCTCTCTCCCTCTCTCTCTCTCTCTCTCTTTGTTGCTCTTCTTCTGTGTCCAATGCGAGAAAAGAGGATCTACGCATGACCTCCTTTCAAATGAAGATGTTCACTTAGATGTATATAAATAAAAAAAAACGCATTAAGAAAGATATTTTGATGTGGCCTAACGACTTGCAAGTTTACTTCATTTTTAGATTACTCTTTTCTCTTCTATGCTTTTTTTTTGTGTGTTTGTTTCTTTCTTTCTTTCTTTCTATCCTTTTTAATCATGAACATATTTTCGAATCGCGTCCTCTGCAAGTGTACACACGCTTATAGGATATGAAGTGTAAATTTACTTTATAATGTTAGATACAAAAAAAGAAATATGGTGTGACATTTCACACAAGATAATTGTTAAGTTGAAACGAAAAAAAGAAAAAAAAAAAATTTTTTTTTTTTCTTCCTTAATAAATAGAATATTATATTATACAAACGAAATACTAATTGAACATTCGTACATATATATATATATATCATAATATGATATGTACAACAACAAAAAGAAAAAACAGAATTGATAACATACCTAATTGGTGAGTACTTCAATGTTCGAGAGGTCTCCTTGTAAAAGACGAACATAATACGACGATCGCCTTCGCTTATTGTTAGCGCTCATTGAGGCGTCTAGAAATAGAAGAAGAAAATAGATCTATTAGCAAGGACATTTTTTTTTTTATTTCGTAAGTAAGGTTTTTTGTTTTTGTAAATCTGTTTTTTAGTATATTAAATGCAATAGCTGGTGTATAAAGAAGAAAATAAAAAGAACCTAGATGCTTTTGACTAACTACAAACGTGTTATTTTCTGATTGTGGCTTCTACTACAATATTCTTCTTCAACTGCCTCTTTGTCACATCATTATCATTATCATGACTTACCATGTAGCAAAAGACAGAAAGAAAGAAAGAAAAGAAAAAAAAAAGACAAGAAGAAATAGAGAACAGCACACAGGTTGATCTCAAATTTGAATGATTGAAAGCTGTAGTTTTTGTGTATGTGCCGATATATATCTATCTATAGAATCAAGACAATAGTCGACAGATATTGATCATCATCTAAAAAAGAAATAAGATCTCATATGAAATACATTTTCAATCAATTTTTTTTTTATCTCTTATGTCAGAATTCTTTTTAGATTCATATTACCTGTGTGTCTACAAGGGATTAGTTAGTGCAACAAGATTCCTTGTACCATAATAATAATAATCATCATCATCATCATCATTTATTGTTATAGTACTATTAATAGATATGAATACAACAAATATACACAGAAATGAAAGAACAGTAGCTTGAAGGAACAAAAAAAAAAAAAAAATAAGCAAAGATGATGATGATGATGATGATGATGCACTACTAACATCATCTCATCTTCATCCGAAAATCCTCGTAGTCAGTTAGCAATTATCTCAAATAGTAAAAAGAAATCTAGACAAAGATAAGTAGTGCACCAGTCTACTCATCAATCACAAGGCGCGACAGCTATCATTGTGTCATTATCATTTAAGCAAAACGACATAGAAAAAAAAAAGAAACTTCATTTTCATAAATTAGTTATATATAAAACTAGAAAACTATTGATCATTTGAACTTCTAAGACTTAATTATTCTATGCATTTAATGTCAAATAATAGAAAACAAAAAAAAAAAAAAAGAAGCGAATCGTTTGGGTCTTTTCTTTTTTCTTTTATAAATGAGAATTATGTGTGTGTATGGGTTTCTATGAAGCAATACACACACACATCCACATTCTATTAGACATTTAAACAATAGTTGAATAGGAATACTACTTCTATTCGCAATATATTAAATCAATTGATTGGTCTATTCGCTATAAATATATGAATTAAAAAATAAAAGTTATTTTCTATCAATATAATTTAGTTGTTTATCAATATCACCTATAAACATGCTGTGACAAACTTGTTCTATATTACTTACTCGAATAATGTTCATTCTTTTCTTTTTTCTTTTCTGTTTTTCTTTTTTTTTTCATTAGACAAATGGGCAAGCAAGCGAATACTAGAGAAAGAGGAAAAGAAAGGACCGAGTAATTAGTAGGGAGGAGAGACTTCGTTTCTTTGTTGTCTTCTATCGTTCCTTCATTTTTTTTCTTTTTTTTTTTTTCTGCTTTCTTCAGTATTTCAATCAGACAAAATAGTTATAGTAAAGAGCGTGATTTCACCTGTCGGAGTCTCTCACAAGGAAGAAAAAGGGAAAGAAAATTATCTAATCGTGATAGCAAAGACGACGATTCATCTGAATAGAAGAAGATACTGATTGCAATTGCTCTTAAAAGAAAAAAAGTAAAAGAAAAAGAAGAAGCGGAAGATGCCCTATATACATGTAGTTAGACGAGATAGATTTTTATCTCAAACATCACTATTAGAAGTTTCCATAGAACTATAGAAATGTAACATGCAATCTAAAATCTATGATAATAATAATAATAATAATAATAATAATACAAAAAATTCAATGTATCGATTGTATCACATCAGATGTTTGATAAACGGTTTTTTAATTTGTTATTATTTATCATGAACTTACTGCGGTTATTTTTCCTAATTTCGTATTCCTAAGTCAACACATATATTATAATATATACACACACACACACTCACATGGTATTGATGGTGCGCAAGATGGCAGCGTAGTCTGATGGTGCTAACATAAAGAAGCACAAGTAACAGAAAGGAAAAAAAGAAAATATGGCACTTCTACTATCATTCTTTTTTTTTTCTCTTCATCAGTTTCTAGCTTTTGTTGTCGTTGTTTATGGTTTTGGCAATCGCTTGTGCTCCTCTCTCAATTCTTTTCTTTTTCTTTTTTTTTGCTTTTCCTGACTATGTGTAAGTTATGCAGGACATGGAAATCTCTCTCGTCCGCACATCTTACCATTCATCTATCGTCGACGTTGGTTCTTTCTCTATTTGCTGCATGCAATGAAAATTGACATGAGAAATTAGAAGTGACGGAGAAGACGACACTGCTTTTCTCTTCTCTTTTTTTTCCCTCAAGCTTTGTCTTTACGGAAAAAATGCGTTGGCATACTTTGTTAGTAGAACGAAGTCTGACTCGAATATACACACAAAGAAGAAAAAAAAAGGAGAAATAGATAGAGAGCGAGTGAGAAGCAGGAAAAAAAAGAAAGAAAGAAAGAAAGAACGACAGAACAGAAGTCGACTGACGTTGCCTTGTCATTTTGAATAAAATGTGAGAAACAAACAAGATCCCTAGCTCAATTTGTCTCGCATTCTTCTTCTTTTTTTTTGTTTGATTCTTCGACGTATGACTAGAAAAGAAAAAGCCGACACCGACTATGCCAACCACATTCTCTTCTTCATTTAAGGTTTTAGAACGATAGCAAACTGTTGACGGTTTGATGCCGATGGGAGATTGAAGGCGCACACAACAAAATGTTGTAATCTGTTATTAGTTTTCCTTTTCATTTCCGTGCCGATATGCGTATATAGAAAAATTCCAGCTGTGTTCCATACAGTAGACACACACACACACACAAAAAGAAAACAAAAATATCATTCATGTCTTGATGGAACAATAGATTGTTCCCATATAAAATCTGTTTTTTGTTGTATTTTTCGATATTGTTTCTGTTTTTGTGTATCAGTTGTTGGTATTACTGCTGATTTTGGTGTTAGAGTTGGTCGATATTCTCTTAAAGCAGATAAGGATAGTGGTGGAAAAGCTAAAAAAAAAAAGTAATCAAAGATTAGATATATATATTCCAAAAATCTAATAAATCTTACTTTCACGATGTATATTTGATGTATTTGATGTTGTTGAAAGAGCATTTTCTGTTGAAATTTCTCCATCAAATAATGATTCAATATTTTTTTGTTCAACAATAAATAAATGACGATTATTTGTTGAACGATGTAATGTTTTAGGAAGAAATGGTAGATTATTTGAATCTTTTATAAATTTAATACAATATTTTTTATCTTTATGTTCAACATGCATTGAATGTGGACGTCGAATATTATTTTTTTGATTATCAAATATTTCCTTTTGTTTAGATGGATATTCTAAATGAGTCTTAAATAAAAAAAAAAAAAAATAATAATATATATTTATTAAAAATTAAAAAAATAAATATTTACAGTAAATTTTTCTGGAAAAAAATTATGTAAACTAAAATTATCATTTAATTGTTTTAAACTTCTATTAGAACATCTTGATTTTAATAAATTTGCTCGTTGTTCATTAAGTTTTGATGAATGAAATAATAAATGAGACTAAAGTAACAATTATCATTTTGTTTTTTTTTTTTTTTTTTTTTTTTTATAAATCAATTATTTGCTTGAGAGAATTTCTCAAGGCAAATTAATATTTTCTTTTTTTTTAATAATAAATGCAAAAAAAAAAAGAAATATTTAAAAACAAATTTACCTGTAGAGAATTTGTTGGTATATCATGTGTCGAATCGAAATAACGTTTAGCTGCATCTATATCAGAACTATTTCGTACAAATTGTTCAAGTTCATTACGAGAATATTGTTGTTGACCAACTTGACCTCGAACAAATGCTTGATATGATGCCTAGATAAGACATTATTTTATGCAAAGTATATCTTTATGAAAATAAAATCAAGCCGTGCATGTTAAGTAAAAGAATAAGCGATCTAAAAATCTGCATACTTCAAGATCGATTCGAGATAGCGACTGCGTTGTGGTCTGATAATGTTCCAACGAACGCAGTCGCTGTAAACGTTCTTCTGGTTGTTCATAATTAACTGCAATATAACGTTAAAATCAAGCAAAACATGATTAAATTAATATAAATTATTAATTAGATCAATACGAGTTAGATATACATACATTATTATTTAAATTTCTTCAAAAAAAAGATTGAAATCGATGAATTAAATTTTATATATATATTTTTTTTATTTTTGTTTTTGTAGAAATTCTATTCACATGAATAGAATGTTTTTTTTTTCTCCTTGATTTATACCAAAGATTTAATCTTCATACATATATATGTCGATAGAATCATATATATATATTTTTTTTTTTTTTTGTATACATTAGCCTAAAGCCAAATGCAAGTAATGTATTTCTATTTTCATTCATGCAAAATTGAATATAGCCTTTTTATTATAACAAAATGCTCATTAATAAAATTGTTGTATCATGAGAAATCCTTTCGAAAATATTTTCATTTGTTGGATTAAATTAAAGTTCAGAATATTATTATTATCGAAGCGAAAAACAGGATATCCGCTCGTAATTCTGATAAATGATGCGAATTCTGATTAAATCAATCATTATATATAAAATTTTTATATTTATTTGAAAAAAAAAAATAGAAAGCTAATAGACATAGAAAAAAAGCAGAAAAAAAACACACATCTAATCTAAAGAAAACTAATTCATATTTCTATGAAATATTCTTATTATTATTTCCTTTCTTTTCTTTTCCTGATTAATAAGTATCAAACAAACCTTATTTTAGTTACTAGTGCAGAAGAAAAATATTTTTTTCGAATAAAAACAAAAAAACAAAAAGAATAATTTTGATAAGTATTTAACATCAAATTGATGAAGAAAAATTTTT